GCTGTCCTGGGCCGCTGGGATGGGGCACGGCGGTCCCCCGCGCCTAGTGCTGTCCTTCGACGGTGGTGGAAGGGGGCACGGCAGTGCCCTCTGACTGTGATCCTCCCTCCCACCCTGCACGCCCCCATTCCTCCTGAGTGTGTGTGTACTGTGCTGTGGCCTGGGGGCCCTGCCTGCTTGATGGCAGAACCAAAGACCTGTGAAGAGTTCTTGGTTTGGGTCAAGGAGCGGGCACAGTCGGGGCATCGGGACCTGGGTCTCTGGTCACCATCTGTCTCTCTGTGACTTTGAGAGTGCCCTCAGTTGGGCCTCAGTTTCCCCGGGGAGGTAGTGGGGATAATGATCCCTGCCTGCCAGGCGGGCCTTCTGGGAGGGAAGGGCGGGATCATGGGCTGGGGAAGGGCCCAGCCAGCTTGGGGGCCATGTCGGGGAGATATGTCCTCCTCCACCTGTCAGCCCTCTGCTGGGCTGGGCGTGGACACCGCTCCTCTCCTCTCTCGTCCACACTGGCCGTTCGTGCCCTGCCCCATGAGGACCCATGAGTACTGCCCGTGGGATGCTCAGTCTCAAGGAGAGGGTCTGTGAGGGTCACGCTGACAGGCCCCAGGCTCTGCCTGAGCGGGGTGTGGCCCCCCTCCTCCTGCCTGCCCCATCGCTGCCTCACGGGGCTCCAGGGCTCTCACCGTCAGTGGCTGGTGGGACGTGGGACCCCGGCCTGGGCATGGGCAGAGACCTGGCAGGCTGGGCCCCTGGAGGTGACCCGTGCCCGCTGCCCACCCCCTGCCTGGCAGGCGACGATGGATGGCGGCGTCAGCGGGCCATTTGCTCACTGTGCCGGAGAAGGTAGATGGGCGCCCTGCAGCTGTCGGTGCGATGGATGTGTCGGCGGTGGGGGACTGCGCGGTCTCCGCTGTCAGCTGGCGTACGCTCCCCGGGCCTGCTGGGGCTCGCTTTGCTGTGGAGAAACAGCTCGGTGCCGCCTGGCACCCTGCCAGCCGCCGCCTGCCACCGCCACCACTGCTGCGGCAAAGTGTTTATCCAGCAGTTTCCCCCAGAACCGAGGACTTGAGGAGAACACGCTGGGAGCTCAGGGCGCCGTGGCCTGAGTGCCGGGACGTGGTGGCCTGGCGGCCGCGTGCAAAGCTCAGAGGGGCCGAGACGCCGGGGAGATGGGAGGACTCACATGTCAGGCCCGGGCCATGGCGAGCCCAGGGAGCCTGCCCACAGCACCTGGTCCCGGCCCCCAAGTCGGCCTGGACACACGGCTGGGAGGGGTGGAGAGGGCAGGCGCTCAGCCTGTGCCCATCTTGTCCCCAAGCCCTGGCCTGGTGGCCCTGTTGGGGTGATTTGGGCTGTAGGAGGCCAGGGCTGCTGGCAAGGAATCCCCCTTCCTCGGGGGTCCTCCAGCACCTTCCTGGGGACGAGCTGGCTCCTGGGATGAGCAGGGATGGTGGAAGGGTAGAGAACACACAAGGACGCTGAAGGGGCCCGGGCTGGGAGCTGAGGGGCCCTGGGGGGCAGGAGGAGGTCAGGGAGCCCCGGTCCAGCCCGTCTAAGCCTGTGCGCCCCCACCCCACCCCACCCCACCCCAGGCAACTGCTTCCTCAGGCCTATAGCCCTCGCTGCGGGTGGGCTAGCCTGGGGGTTAAGGTTTTGTGGGCCACGGGTCCCCCTCCCTGGTGACTTGGCAGGATGCAGACTCAGAGGGGTGGGTGTGGTGCCGCAACGCCCAGAGGCAGGCTGGGCTTCTGAGAGAACCTGGAGCTGCCACCCGTCTTGCCTGCCTGCTTGGGACAGCCCCTCTGGGTGGGGTGAGCACCCGACCCCCAGTGCCTGCCAGTGCCTGACCCCAGCTCGGCTCTGGCTCCCGTCTCCTGGCAGCAGGCGTGGGGTCCTCCTGGCTGGGCTGCTGACCTGTGTGAGAGGAACCGAGCTGACTGTGATGTGGGACCCCACGGCCCGGTCCCGGGGCTGTGCTGAGGCCCCTCTCGGGCTCCAGGGCCCTGGTCTGAAGTGTTTGCAGGGGGCGGGATGGAGTGGGTGGGGATCCTTCTGGGATCTCGGGCTGAGCACTGGGTGTGAGTGGCAGGGACGGAGGACCAGGGCCTGGAACTGGGTGCAGGCCAGGTCCCGCTGCCCACCGGAGTGGCCACTGCCGGGAGAGGACCCTGGTTGTGGGCAGGCATCAGGCCCGAGGGAGCAGTGGGGACCCCCATTTATGGAGCAGTGTCCCGAGGGGCAGACCTGGGTTCCCTATTTGTCATCGCCCATATCTGTGCCCAGAGTGAAGGCCGGCTCCTCCCACCACCAGCTCTGGCTGTGTGTGTGTCTGCCCCCACTGCCCCAGGCCCCCGGGGCAGGTGCCGCCCATAGGCATCCTGTGGCCGAGAGAACGGCGGGGGCCGGGCCCAGGGGTGGCCTCCTCCACTCACCCCCTCCTATGTCACCTCCAGCCCTGGGAGTGAGCGGGGCCTTGGGCTCCCATCCGTCTGGGCCAGCTGCCCACCCAGCATCCCGTCTGGGCTGAACTCATTCATATGCAGGCCACGGCCCAGGCCCCCGGGTGACTGCCTGGCTGGACCTCTGCAGGCGAGAGTGTCCGAGATGCTGAAGAAAGGGGTCTGTGTGTCTCAGAGCCTTGGCCCCGGCCTCCCCAGGTCCCCCCAGGGTTCTGCTCCTCCTCGAGGGGTCTGTGTGCTGGGCGGCTGAGCGGGACTACCTTCCCTGGTCCTTGCTCCCACCTGTGCGTCACCCAGCTCCTGGGCCCAGCCGTGTGGGGTGGGGGCAGAGCGGGGCCAGACCTGGTCCCCCTTCACTCGCCTGGGTCTGGGGGCTGGCGGAGGGCCCAGCAGGCTCACAGCCCACCCCTTGGGCCCCTCCCTACGTGCTCAGTGGGGTTGGGCACCTGCTCCTCAGTCTCTTCTCAGCAAGGGCTGCTCCCTTGGGCTGCTCCCCCCAGTTCTGGGTTCTAGAATCTTCCCAGCCCTGGGATTGGGCTTGTGGGGTGAAAGCTGGTAGATGGCAGGTGCAGGGTCACGTGGCCGCATGGGTCCTCAGTGCTTAGCTCTGGCACCCCTGTTCCAGGGGCTCCTGGACCCCAGTGGACTGACAGGCTCACCCCCAGTGGGGAAACTGAGGCCCAGTCTTGTGTGCAGGTCCCGCCGAGCACGGGGCCTGCGTGTGGACTCTCCGTGTGGACGCACACGTGCCGACTCCACGCGCGGGGTGCGGCACTGGGGGGTGGCACTGGCACGGTGGGGGCCGGCGGCAGTTGGTGCATCAAGATGGATTTTCGGGGCTGCTCGGGTGAGGCGCTCATCACTCTCCCCGCTCAGTTAGCATCCTGGGGAGCGGCAGCTGGCGGGATGGGAGGCACTCCATCAGGGGCCGACAGCTCCAGACTGGCGCGCAGGCGGGTGGGAGCAAGCGGCGGGCGGCCCAGGACGGCGCGGGTGCTGGGGCGCACACAGCCCCCGGAGCCTGCTCTGCTCGCGCCCACCCGCTGCACCGGTGGGGAAGGGGTGCCTGGGAGGCTGAGTGGGATGGCGTGGGCGTGGGCATGGGGCGTCCCAGCCAGGTGCAGGAGCCAGTGTCGGAGGGTGGCTGGATCACGGCCTTCTCAGCTGACCGTCCCCAGGGGCTCGGAGGGCTCAGCAGAACTGAACGTAGACCCTGCTAAACGCTGTGGGGTGGGGGGCAGCTTACTGGCAGCTGCTCGAATCCTCCCTGTACTGGCAGTGTCTGGGCTAGTGGTGACCCCCACCTGGAGCCGGGGAAATGGCCTGCGGTGGGCTCCCTGGGGACGGGCGCTGGGAGTGGCTGGAGCCCTATTTCCCCAGCATCCCCCCAGCGGCTGTGGGTCATGCAGAGTGAGGGCTGGGCCTCGGAGGCCACACCCAGGGGCTCTTGGCTGGAAGGGGTCTGGGGGAGGAGGAGCCGACTGAGTGGCGGGTGGTCCCCCATGCCCCTGCCGGTGCCCGTGTCCAGGGCTCAGCCTGGCAGGGAAAACCTGGGCCCAGAGCTCAGACCCCAGCCCCTACCCGCCCGCTGCCCAGTGGCCCCTCGGATGGAGCAGTTGCCTAATTAGTAAGTTCTCTGTTGTTGTTCAAACTCCTTGCTCTGCAAAATGTAAACGGCACATTTTTTCTGGGTGACAGTATGAAAAATGATGGTGGCTTCGGATATGGCAGAGGACATCTGCTTGGGCTCCTGAGCGTGAGCTGGCACACGGCTTGTGTCCCACAACTGCGGGGACTTTCCCGTGTACCTGGGTGACTTGCGGGGGCCAAGGCGGCAGGTCCGAGCCCGAGGACCGCACCGCCCACTCCCGGGTCTGGATTTATGACGGTGTCTGGGCCCCTGGACAGCGAGTGTTGTCACACAGGCAGCAGGGGGCCCTGTCTTGAGGCCCAGCCTGGGGGTGGGCTGCAGATGGGCCTGCAGCTGCTGGGCGAGCCCCTGAGTCTCAGGCTGAGTGCGGTGTTGTCCCTTCACCGCTGGATGCTGTGCTCTGTCCTCAGCCAGGGGCCAGCTGTGGTAGGCAGCCCACTGCCATTGTCACCACAGTAACTGTTGTGGCCACCCACTGGCCGGACCAAGGTTGGGTGGGGAGAGGTCTTGGCCCTGCAGCCCCGGAGGGTGACTGCAGCTGGTGCCTGAGCTGTTGCTGGTGCCTGCTGGGGACCCGCTGGCTTGGCACCACCTCCTCCAGGAAGGCCCTCTGGATAGGGCCAGCCTCCTGTCAGTCATGCCCCTCCCCCATGTCCGGGGCTCACCTGGCCCCTTTTCCAACACAGGCAGGGGTGGGCCCTTCATCAGAGGTGGGCGCTCCCACACTGTAAGCCCTGCCTTCCTATCCATTGCCTGCCGCCTGGGGGGTTCGGGGTCGGTGCCGCGAATTTGGGTACAATCAGCCGCCGATTTGCCCCTGGGATGGGGCCTGTGGGGGGCTGGGAGTGGGGTCAAGTGGCCACAGCCACTCACGGCCTGCGTGTCCTCAGGGGAGTACATCAAAACCTGGCGGCCCCGGTACTTCCTCCTCAAGAACGACGGCACCTTCATCGGCTACAAGGAGCGGCCGCAGGACGTGGAGCAGCGCGAGTCCCCGCTCAACAACTTCTCGGTGGCGCGTAAGTGTGCCTGTGGCACCCCGGCTGGGAACGGGGCGGGGGGGAGGGCGGGAGCTGGCCTGGGCTGGGCAGGCAGGTGGGGCTCGGGAGCCCTCTGTGCCCGGCAGCCCCCATGCTGAGGGCCCCTCGTGTCCAAGGCCGGCCGCCCGCCAGGCGCCGAGTCACCTGGGGGACTGGCTGGTGGCCGGCTCCAGCTGGTGGGGTCTCCATGCTGAATCCCAAGGCTGGCAACCCTGGACCTGTTCCTGGGCGTTCCTGCTCTGGAGGCTGGATGGCCTGGCCGAGTGGGGACAGAGCCCAGCCTGGGGCAGCCAGCCAACCGGGGCCCCTCCTCCAATGGGGGCCCGATGGAATCCGTCAGGCCTCTCTCCTGGGCAGGGGGTCAGGAAGAGAGTGCTTGAGGGGCACCCAGCTCCCAGGAGCCTCTGTCACCCCCAGGAAGAGCCTGTGGCTGTCCTGGCAAAGGTTCTCAGACCCCTGTGGTGGTGCATTTGCTTCCACTCTCAGCTGGGGTCGGGGGTGGGCTGCCCCTGCTGGAGGGGCGAGTGTGGCACGGCTGGCCCAGGTCATCTCACAAAGCTGGACAGACGGGCAGTTTTTTAACCCATGTGCTCTTGTGGCCTCATTTCGTACCTGTGAGGGGGACCACAGGTGTGACCTACCCACGGGGCTGGGGAGACCCAGGCGTGGAGATGGGCCGGTAGGTGGGATGCTGGGCAGGCGGGCCTTCCAGCCCGGTGCCCGTTCTCGGTGCAGCTGCCCTGGAGCCCAGCTCTGCCCCGGCGGGTGGCTGAGTGATGGCCTTATTGACTGGCAGACACCCAGGTCTGTCTCAGGCTGCCATCTGGGGTGCAGAGTGCAGTGCCCACCGTGGGGGGTCCCGGGCTTCACCCCAGGCTTCTTCAGACACCCCCACCCTCCAGCCGGCTCTCCCCTCCTCGCCAGGTGGCCTGGGAGCCTGGGGTCCTCCAGCCCCCACCTCGCCAGACCCCAGCTTATGGTCCAGGGTCTCAGGAGGTGGTGGCACAGGTGGCCTGTTCCCAGGCTGACAGGGAAGGACTCGTAGGCTTTGTGCCTGCAGATGTATGGTGGGGGGTTCTGGCATCTTGGCTACCCGCCTACCCCCCAGTGGCCCTGCGCTGGAGGGCGAGGGGCACTGCCAGTGTACCCCACCCCAGGGCTGCTGTTGGGGAGGAGCAGAGCCCCTGTCCTGTGAGGCTCTTGAGGTGGAGGGATCCTGTGAGCCCTGGACCCTCCCCCCAGCCCCGACTCCTCAAGCCTGCGCAAAGCAGCGAGTAGAGCAGGGGCTCTGTGGAGGGGGGGGGGCAAGGAGGCAGACACTCCCCTCCTCACAGCCTCGTGGCCCAGCGGGAGATCTCACTGCAGTGTCTGGGCTTCCCCTAGCGCCTCCTCGGCCGGGATCAGAGGCTTCAGGGCTTGGGAAGGAGGCTCGGCCAGGGTGGGTGCTGCCTTTCTGGAGGGCAAGGCCCCTCAGGATTGTTCCCCAGGCCGAGTGCAGGGGGCCTCTGGAGGCACACCAGCCAGAGGGGCTGCCTGAGCAGTGGGGGCTCTGGGGCCTTGAACCAGGCCTTGGCCAGCTGGAGCTCAGGACAAGGAGCAGAGCCATGCCAGTCAGGGAGGCGGCTGTGCCAGGGCCTCTGCATCCAGGAACTTTTCCTTGCGGATGGATCCCAGGGTGGGGAACCCAGGCCCTGGGACGGGCGCACCTGGTCCTGGAGCACCTGGTGGCCTCCGATGAGTGAGTGGGAGGTGGGTGTACAGAGACTGAGAAAGCCGGCCACGAGGGTTTTTCATACACCACCCCCTCCCCCCTCCCCCCGCCCCCGTGTTGACACGGTGACCTTTCCTATGAGGCCAGCCCCAAGCCCCCTCCTGGCCTCCAGGCCTGGCAGACCGCTCCCTTGCACTCGGCTGAGCCCGGCCGGGGCCCCTCACAGTTGCCAGGGCCCAGACACTGGAATGTTGGAAGCCCTTGCACTGGCCCACCCACCTCACACAGGCTGGGCCAGAGTCTGGCCTAGCAGCCCCCAGCAGTCCCCAGCAGTCCCCACACTCACTTACGCCTCTCTCTCGGCCTGGTGCATCCCCACAGTCCCTCAGCTGCATGTGTACGTGTGCTCCAGGTGTGCGTGTGCTCCAGGTGTGTTTGTGTGCTCCAGGTGTGTTTGTGTGCTCCAGGTGCGCGTGTGTGTTCCAGGTGCGCGAGTGCTCCGGGTGTGCGCCTGCTCCGAGTGTGCGAGTGCTCCGGGTGCACGCGTGTTCCAGGTGCGCGAGTGCTCCAGTTGTGTGTGCTCCAGGGGTGTGCACACTCCCAGGCCTTCCAGCCTGTTTATAGTCCTGTACGTGTCTGGACTCCCCAGCCCCTGGGATGCTGGTGGGGGTGGGCTTCAGAGGCGGTGCGTACAGCCCGAGCAGCCTCCTGGTGGGTCATGTCCTGCAGCTGCCTGCCAGGACAGCCGGCCTCTCTGCAGGGTGTCACCAGCAGCCAGCACCCTGGCATTGGCCCTGTGCGGAGAGGGCGGGTGGGGCTGGCAGTCATCGTGTGGTTGGGAAAATGGCAGGACGTTGCTGCTCCGGTGGGGTGAGCTGCTTTCCCACGAGGCCCACCCTGCTGCCCCCCCCACCCCGGGGCCCCCATACTCCTCACCCTCTGGCCAGTCGAGGGCTGTGGCCTGGCACGCAATGGGGTCTCAGACACTGAAGGAAGGACCGCGGAAGGAGATGATGGCAGGGGGTTGACCTGACCCAGCCTCAGACACCCCCGTGGGGGTGCCTCGCAGCTCCAGAGCACAGTGTCTGAGCTGGAACAGGGTTCCAGCCCCATTTTATAAGGAGGGAAACAGGCTTGGAGATGGGACGGGACAGGACTTCCTAGGACCCAGAGGGTGGGGTGCTGGTGTGGGGGCAGGTGGGCCGAGTGGGGGACGTGTGTGCAGACAGGACACCCACGTGCTGGCCCCGCTCACAGAATGCCAGCTGATGAAGACGGAGCGGCCCAGGCCCAACACCTTCATCATCCGCTGCCTGCAGTGGACCACGGTCATCGAGCGCACCTTCCATGTGGAGACACCCGAGGAGCGGTACGAGATGGACGTGTGGACCCTCTGCTCGTGGTGTCCTCCTCCCCAGTGCTCCTCCTCAGAGTCCGCTCTGGAAAGCACTGGTCCAGGCCCCCAGCGGGGAGGGGATGCAACCCTGCTGGGGGGCCGGGTCTTAGGGTCCCCAGTGTCTAGGACCATGAGCGTGTGTGGCCGGCCCAGGTCCTGGGGTGGGTGGTCTCCTCGGGCCTCTCTCTCTGGGGTCTCTGAGCTGGGGCTGTGGAGTGGGGGACCCTGGGCCTGGGCGGGGCTGGGGGCCTTACCTGACTGCCCTGCAGGGAGGAGTGGACGACCGCCATCCAGACAGTGGCCGATGGGCTCAAGAGGCAGGAAGAGGAGATGATGGACTTCCGGTCGGGCTCGCCCAGCGACAACTCTGGGGCTGAGGAGATGGAGGTGTCCCTGGCCAAGCCCAAACACCGCGTGGTGAGGCCTGTCCCTCACCTCTGGGGGGTCTGGTGGACACGGGTTCCCAGCGGGCCGGCCCCAGGGGAACCTCTGTGCTCCGGGTCCCTTTCCCCCTGGCTCGGCTCCCTCCTGAGCTCCCTCTGGACAGCACAGTCTGACCCTCAGAGCCCTGTGTGGAAAGTGAGGCTCCAGAAGGCCCAGGCGCTGTCATTCCCACTGTCCCCCAAGCCCCAGCACTTTGAGTTGGGGCACACAGCCCGGTGTTCTCCCACAGCCCTGGACTCCCCACGGACCCCCAGGCCTGTAGTGAGGAAGGGGACCCGCCTGTGCCCAGCCCCAACCCCGGCTGTGGTGGCCCTGGCCCCGTCACCTGCACTGCCATCCGGCAGCGGGGTGACAGCCCTGACCCTGGGCGCCTGCCCGCTGTCCCCGCAGACCATGAATGAGTTTGAGTACCTGAAACTGCTGGGCAAAGGCACCTTTGGGAAGGTGATCCTGGTGAAGGAGAAGGCCACGGGCCGCTACTACGCCATGAAGATCCTCAAGAAGGAGGTCATCGTGGCCAAGGTGGGGCACCGGGCCGGGGCGGGGGGCTGGCCGGGGCTGGGGCGGGCGGCTCACGGGCCTGTCTTCCAGGACGAGGTGGCCCACACGCTCACAGAGAACCGCGTCCTCCAGAACTCCCGGCACCCCTTCCTGACGGTGAGTGGCCTCTGGCTGTCTCGGGTGGGGCGGTGCTGCCTGGGCCTCAGGGCAGGACTCGGCCCCTCTGTGCCTGGCCCTCACTCGCAGCAGCCTGTCTCTGCAGGACGGATGTCCTGTTCTCCATGTGCTCCAGGACTCGGGCCAGCTGTGGGCGGGCCTCCCAGGAGGGTTGGGGTGGAGGTGCCTGATGCGGGGCTGGTGGGCTGCGCTGGCTGCCCCTGCTGCGCAGTGCGGGACAGGTGGCCTGGGTCTTCCCTCCATTCTGCGTGAGGCCCTGGGATACCCCCCAACTGCCCATGCCACCCTTCTGCACATGGCCCTCTGGCTGCTTCCCTTTGAGACTCACACCAGGGGTGTCCCTGTCCTCGGGGGGAATCGGCCCAGGAGGAGTGTATGGACAATCCTTAGCCTTTGGGAGCAACACGGGATTCGCTAGAAATTAGTTTGCCAGGCTCAGGCGGCTCGACTCCCGGAAGGTGGGGCGAGCTGGCCAGCAGGCGGGTGGACGGGCCCTGCCCCTCTGGGGTCAGGACTTGGCGATCCTGCTGGGCCACACCCCATGGGCTCTCGCCAAGACCACCCCAGGCCCTGTCTCCTCTGCTCAGCACGGTGTCCTCGCCCCAGGGGACCACCTGATCCAAAGCAGGGTCAAAGCGGAGAAGCCGTCCTACTTCTCTGGCGTTTTTGTTCCTTAAAACATTTTCCATGAGAAACGTTAGACACTGTTAAAAAGTGGGCGTTGTATTTTTTCACCCGACTCATTCATTGTCGTGGTTGTGCCTCATTTGCTGCATCTCGCCCTTCTTTCCCTCCGTCTGATGAGGGATTTTGAGGAAAAGCCCAGGCTTTATGTCACTGCCCTCCACCCTTCAGTGTGTCCTCGACAGACACCACTGTTGAATTGGACAGAAATTCCTGGGTCCATCCTGCCCAGCCCACCATGTCCGTCCTGGTGGTGGTGTCCCCCTGGGTCTGCCCTCGTGTCAGGTGTCCGTGGGATGGGGTGTGGGGGCTGGAGTGTGAGGGCAGTGGTCCCACGGTGCGGCTTGTCCCTGCTGCCTGAGGTCTGTAGCTTGTCTCTCGTCTCGTATTTCTGTGAAGGGGGCTCAGCCCCCTGATTAGGTCCAGAGTCAGCATCTGAGGGGGAGGTTGGTCCTCAGGAGGTCCTCCTCATCAAACAAGGCCGCCTGTGGTTTGCGATGGGAAGGCCCTGGGCCGCCTTGCCCTGGAGGACACATCCTCCCCTTGCCGGGGCTGCTCCTAGCTGCTACCCCACTTCCCAGGTCAGTGGCCTCGGGGCTGGGAGCTCGCGCCCCGAGGCCTGCCCAGCAGGGGAGCCTCTGCATGGCACTGGAACCGGCTGGAGACTTAACCCAGACCGCATGGTGCTCGTCCTTCAAGCGCGGCCTGTGCGGCAGCGTGCCAGCAGGTGGCGTCCTGGCCCAGCTCAAGGCTGTGATTCCAGCTCTGCTTCCTTGCAGGCCCTCAAGTACTCCTTCCAGACCCACGACCGCCTCTGCTTCGTCATGGAGTATGCCAACGGGGGCGAGGTAGGGCGGCTGCGTGGCCCGGGTGGGCTGTCCCCTCCCTGGTGTGGGACAGTGCTGCCCCAGCTGTGTGATGCCCGCTCGTGGGTGACCTGTCCCCGCCCCCCACCACGAGGCTCCCAGCTCCCCTTACTGAGTTAGGGTCTCAGCCTGTCCACACTCCTTCACCCTGGGACCCTGGCTGAGGTCGCCGGGGGGGAGGGTGCCCCGGCCTGGGTGCTGCTCAGGCTCGCTGTCCCACAGCTCTTCTTCCACCTGTCCCGGGAGCGGGTGTTCCCCGAGGACCGGGCCCGCTTCTATGGCGCCGAGATCGTGTCGGCCCTGGACTACTTGCACTCGGAGAAGAACGTGGTCTACCGTGACCTCAAGGTGGGCCTGCGGCGCGGCCAGGAGTGGGGGTGGGGCTGGGGACCGCAGGGCGCGGGGAGGGCGGGTGCTGACCTGGAGGCCGCCTCCCCGACAGCTGGAGAACCTCATGCTGGACAAGGATGGGCACATCAAGATCACCGACTTCGGGCTGTGCAAGGAGGGCATCAAGGACGGCGCCACCATGAAGACCTTCTGCGGGACGCCCGAGTACCTGGCCCCCGAGGTGCGTGCCTGCCTGCCGTGTGCCACCGAGTCTCCTGTCCTCTGTGTCCCCCATATGCCCCCCACGTTCCCTGTGATCCTGTGTCCCCTGAGTCCATGTCCCCCCGTGTCCCTCTGTCCTCCACGTTCCCGTGTCCCTCATGTCCCCTGATGACACTGCGTGTCCCGAGTCCCCCCGTGTCCCTCATGCCCCCGGGCATTCCCTGACCCCGTGCCCCCGCATCCCCCAGGTGCTGGAGGACAATGACTATGGCCGGGCGGTGGACTGGTGGGGGCTGGGCGTGGTCATGTACGAGATGGTGTGCGGCCGCCTGCCCTTCTACAACCAGGACCACGAGAAGCTCTTCGAGCTCATTCTCATGGAGGAGATACGCTTCCCACGCACGCTCAGCCCAGAGGCCAAATCTCTGCTCTCGGGGCTGCTCAAGAAGGACCCCAAGCAAAGGTGAGCCCTCCACCCCAGCGCCCTGTCCTCCAGTGTCCCAGAGAGGCTGCGCTGTCCCCACTGCACTGTCTCCCCCACCCTGAGACCACTCGTCCACTCACCCCATGGGAGGAGGGGCCTGGCGGACGAGTGTGGGCCCTGGGCCGCGCAGCTGGTGGTGCTGTCACTGGGCCTCCGTGTCCTCCCCAGGCTTGGCGGGGGCTCCGAGGACGCCAAGGAGATCATGCAGCACCGCTTCTTCGCCAGCATCGTGTGGCAGGACGTGTACGAGAAGAAGGTACGTGGGGGCCTGGCGTGCACCCACCTGCTCATGTGCACCTGCTCATGTGCACCTGCTCACCCACCTGCACACGCGCCCGCTCATGTGCACCTGCTCACACACCTGCACACATGCCCACTCCTGTTCACCTGCTCACACACCTGCACACACGCCCGCTCACACCCACCCGCTCACCCACTGGCACACATGCCCACTCACCCCGACCCGCTCACGTGCACCTGCTCACACACTTGCACACATGTCCACTCACACCCACCCACACACACCTGCACACACACCCGCTCACACCCAAGCGCTCATGTGCACCTGCTCACACACCTTCACATACGCCCGCTCACATGCACCTGCTCACACACCTGCACACACATCCGCTCACATGCACCTGCTCACACACCTGCACACACGCCCGCTCACACCCACCTGCTCACACACCTGTACACACACCCACTCACGTGTACCTGCTCACATACCTGCACACACGCCCGCTCACACCCACCCGCTCACCCACTGGCACACATGCCCACTCACCCCGACGTGCTCACGTGCACCTGCTCACACACCTGCACACATGCCCACTCACACCCACCCACTCACACACCTGCACACATGCCCGCTCACACCCAACTGCTCAAGTGCACCTGCTCACACACCTGCATACACGCCCACTCTCATGCACCTGCTCACACACCTGCACACATGTCCGCTCACACCCACCCATGCCCCTGCCCGGGCTCAGAGGGTCTGCACTGCCCGGTTTCCTCCTTGGTGCCGTCCAGGGTCCTCCCTCATTCCCCCGGGGGAGCTGTGTGCATGTGCACTCCTTGCACGTCCGGCCCTGTCAGGTTTGGACCCCTGGGTTCCCTTCCCCGATGCTGCGTGCTGAAGGGTGGCCGTGGAGTGGGGGCACTACCCCCTGCTTTCCCAGTTCCTCAGGTTGTCTGACCTCAACCCTTCCTCATTTCCTGGGGAGGAGTTGGGCAGGGCTGGCCCAGGAGCCCCGTGTGGGCTTGGGAGGCACGTGAAGGCAGAGCTTGGGCAGAACAGTTACCCTTGTACCCAGGGCTCCTGGCTGGGGCTGGCCTTGGCACTGGACACGGCTGGCTGCTCCCTGGGTCCCCTCCCAGGGTGGTGGCAGGCCCCTCGAGCCCTGCCCTCTGCTTGGCTGGCCTTGGCCTCTGCTACCCGGGCCTCTGGGAGGCACGGCTGCCTCGTAGGCCCACTGTGTGGGAATGCCACCCTTGGCCCAGGTGGGTCAAGGGACTGTGGGGATGTGACTGTCGCTCCATCATGAATTATGGAAGTGGGGCATCCTGGGCCCCAGAGCAGTCCCCGGCAGCTAGGCTGAGTGGCTCAGGAAGGGGTGTGAATGGTGTCTGGGGGGTAGGGCTGGGAGCCCACCCTGTACACCTTGTTCCATGGTGTTCCTCTTCATCCCCTTCCCAGTTTGTCAGAAAACCAGAAAAAAAGTAAGAAAGGTAAAAAAAAAAACAAATAGAAAAATGGACTGGTCCCCTTCTGTCTGGGGGCATGAGAGGTCCTGCAAAGTTGGGCTGCGCTATCTCCTGTCACCTGCAGGGGTCGCTGTGAGCAGAGCTCAGACCCCAGGCCACTGCCCCCTCCCCTGCGTGTCCCCTTCCCAGAGCTCTGTCTGTGGGTGGGTGACGGCTTGCCCCTTTGTCAGGCATCAGTACCGCCTGGAGACAGTCCAGGAGACGTGAGGCACTTCTCAAGTGGGGGGTTCAGCTCCCCAAGGCAGCGGCCAGGCCAGGGTGTGCTGAGCAGTGCAGAGCAAGCCCTGTAACCGGCCCCCACCCCTCCCGCAGCTCAGCCCACCCTTCAAGCCCCAGGTCACTTCAGAGACAGACACCAGGTATTTTGATGAGGAGTTCACGGCCCAGATGATCACCATCACGCCCCCCGACCAAGGTGAGGGGTGGGCCCCCAGACGACTCACTCCCCAGCCCATTTCTTCCCTCCTCTCCAGACCACAGGATGCGGGCTGCCCTCTGTGGGGAGGCCTGTAGTGCCCAGCATTTGGTTGGGAAGGTTCCCTTGGCAGGGTGGTGATCTGGGCGGGAGGGCCACTATCCCTCTGCCCCGGCATTGTGAGGGTCGGGGGTCACCGAGTAGAGTCTGGGAGGCTGGCCTGCAGGGGCCTGCCTTGGTTTCCCCGGATGTGTGGCAGCCCTGCTCCTGGACCTGGGGTCTGAGCCGCCTCCCACCCCCACCCGCCTGCAGATGACACCATGGAGGGCGTGGACAGCGAGCGGAGGCCCCACTTCCCCCAGTTCTCCTACTCGGCCAGCGGCACGGCCTGAGGAGGGCCAGCCGGGCCACGCTGGCGGACACCGCCTGGGCAGCCATGCGCTCCGGACACGGCTTCCACGGATCGCGAGGACGCCTCGCACAGATGATCTCTATTTAATGTTTTTTATTTCTGGATGCATTTGGGAGGAACCACGCGCTCCTCTGTGCACGGATGGGAAACGTCTCGTGCTGCGGGCAGGGCTGCCTGCCTTGGAGGCGGCGTCCTCCCGGCCAGCCGGGTCGGGAGAAAAACTGTCCTGCGGTGTTTCTTAATTTATTTCATCTGGTTCTCCAGACGTGGCCTCGGCCTTCAGAACAATTAGATCCACGTAGGAAAACAGTGAGGACTTCCGCAGCCATGTGCAATCAGGGCTCCACGTGCCCTGCCCATGGCCCCTCAGGCCCTCTCGCCGGCTGTTCTGGCTGCCACTAGTTTCGGCCCCACCTGGGGACGCTAGAAGCAACCTGGTTGTGGCATGCCGGCCTGGCGTCCTCTCCCTCGGGGTGGGGCCCATGGCAGCCCCTGGCGCTAAGGCCCGAGGAGGAGTGGCCCTGAGATGGGGCCTGGGCCCAGGCTGGGCCAGGTTCGCCCCAGGAGACGGGAACAAGGCTGAAATCTGTTGCTGTGTATTACGCTGTTCACGTGCATTCTGGGGTTTCTCATCTTAGTGAGAAGAAAGCCCCTCTTTCCCTGCGGGACGGCTCACTGCGATGGCTGCCCCTGGTAGCACTTGTCCTTATAGACGCTTCACTCTCCCAGCTCCCTGGACCCCCCGTGCCCCCGGAGGGGCCATCACTGTGCCCTCCGCGCCCCGTCCAGATGCTGCCCTGCACCATGGCGTTTTTTACATTCAACTTTAGTATTTTTACTATTATAATATGAGACTCTCCCTCCAAATTCTTCAATAAAAATTGCTTTTCAACTTTGTGGCTTGTTTTGCTGGGTGGCGGGTGAAGGAACGTGCGGGCTGGCCTGCTCATGGGGAGCACCCGTCCTTCCTGCCCGGCCTGTGCCCAGGGTCAGCCTCTGAGGAGAGATGTCCCTCTCTCAGCTTGGCAAGGCTTGCTGGAGGGGGAGATGCCCTGGCTGTCCCTGTCCCCACCTGGCTTCACCCCAGCCCCATGCCCCCAGGGAGGCCTCCCAGAACATGGCCATCTACCCACCAGCCCTGTCCAACCAGGAAGGACCTGCTGAAGCTCACACAGCAAGTCTGGGGCAGGGAGGAGGGGCTGCTGGCTGGTGGGGCTGAGGGCGCCCCTGATGCAGGGACCAGCCCTGAGCCCAGCAGCCCAGCAGGACGTGCTGTGGGCGCCACCTGGTGGATGCCTGGCAGGCGGCAGGTAACATGCAGGATCACTGCCAGGGGCCCAGGCTGCGAGGGGAGCGGGTGGGGCCGGCTGGGAGCCTCAGGTTCCGTCTCTCCAGCAGACCAGCCCGCAGGTGTGGCCGGACGTCCGGACATTTATCAGGCCTGGGCCTGGAGGAAGAGGCAGCCTCTCCAGGCTCCTGGGCGGTTGGCCTCCTCTCAAGGCATTCCCTGGGGTGGGGTGGCTGCCCTCTTCAGCTGGAGGGGGCAGCAGGGGTGGGGGACAGTCCAGGCCTGGGGGCACATCCGGAGCGGCAGCCAGTTCTCCTCTGGGCAGTCCCTTACCACCTCTGTTTTGACAGGCTGTGAATGACGTCACACCAGTACACAGCTTTTTTGGAAATGACAAACACACATGGAACGTTAGCGACGAAACAATGCTTTGGAGGTAAGAGACACCCAGATTTCAGATACATGAAAATGCACACCAAATTGGAACACTTGTGTACTGCTGGTGGGAATGTAAAATGGTACAGCCACCATGGAGAACAGTATGGAGGTTCCTCAAGAAATGAAAAACAGAATTACCATATGATCCAGCTATCCCACTTCTGGGTATGTAAGCAGGGTGTCAAATATTTCTACACCCATGTTCAAAGCAGCATTATTCACAACAGCCAAGAGGTGGAAGCAACCCCAGTGGCCATCAACCAATGAATGGATGAGCCTACTGTGGTAAATCCACACAATGGAGTATTACTCAGCCTTAAAAAAAGAAGGAAACCCTGTCACATGCTACAACATGGATGAACCTTGAGGACATCATGCTGAGTGAAATAAGCCAGACATAGAGGGACAAACACTGTGTGATTCCACTTGTATGAGGTCCCTAGAGGAATCAGATTCATAGGAACAGAAAGCAGAATGGAGGGTGCCAGGGGCTGGGGGAGGGGATGAGGAGTTAGTGTTTCATGGGGACAGAGTTTCAGATTTACAAGATGAAAAGAGTTCTGGGGATGATGGTGGTGGTGGCTCTGCAACAGTGTGAAAAGTACTTAATGCCACTAAACTGTACATTTAAAAATGGTTAAGATGGCAAATTTTGTTATGTGTACTTTAACACAATAAAAAAAGGAAAAAAATGTGTATTGTAGAAACCAGAAAATACAGCAATCCCCTTCCTCAAATTTTGAGCAAACAGCTATCAAAAAAAGTGGCAGATGTGGTGTGGAAAACAGGGAAGTGCCTTTGAAGCTGGAGCTGGGATGTCAGGGGGGTGCCTCGCTGGCCAGGCTGAGGGGCACAAGCTGCTCCTTCCCACGGGACCCCCTTGGGTGATGGGGGGCTGCCTTAGGGACATTCCTACGGCCCTGGAGAGGCTTCAAGGTCATGGGCATGGACACAAACAGGACCCTACCTTGCATCCCCATCCCAGGTGGGAGGGGCCAGGAGGGAATGAGTGAAGGGCTGAGACCCCCTGAGAACTCCTGACGTTCCAGGAGGCCAGGGCGTGGGCCCTGTAGGCACCTTGTGCAGCAGCCTCTGCGGAGAGAGCCATGGGGGTGCAGGGAGACAGGCATCTTGGAGAGAAAACTGGAGGGCCACCCGTCCCGGTCAGCAAGGCCAGAGCAGACCAGGAGGGGCAGGCCCTATGGCCATGGCCAGGGCCTGGTGACTCGTGGACTGGTGTGGTGAGGGCCAGCCAGGCCGGGGGCCGGTAACCGGGGCCTGCACCTGTGTCCCGGTACCCACACCTGCTCTTCCCAGCACAAGGCCAGCCTTGGGGTGGGGGGAGAGAAGACAGAAACAGAAGTGACGTTAGCACGTGGTCTGCCCACATTCCGGCAGGTGTGAGTAAAGGAGGCCCCGACCCGGGGCTGCGGGCCAGATCAGCAGCTCCCAGCAAGGGGCTGACAGGGCCAGGCCAGTGTCCAGCTCGGACTCGGGGTCCTGCTGCCGAGGGAGCACAGCGGGGCCTGCCCTCCAAGGACGCCCCCCCGGGAACTTCTGCTCAAAGGAGCTACGCATACTTGTTCCGCCCTTTTGAACTTGTGTCTTTACACCTGTAACAACATGGAGTTGGGTCCTGCTTTTCTGTTGCTGTTTTAGACAGTCGAATAGCCTCTGCCCTGAGGTGTTCAGACACCCTGAACCACGACAGACACGGCTGAGCTTCAGCGCCACCTTGCTGTGTCCCATTTGTTCCTTGTCCCTTCTTTCCTCTTTCTGCCTTATTTTGGATTAAATGAGCATCTTTAAAAACATCCCATTTGATCTCCTTTACTGGCTTATTTCGATCTCACCCGTTTTTTCCACTAATGTTCCTTTTTTGCTCCAGGATCTGATCCAGGACGCCACGTTGCATTTAGAATAAATGAAAGAATGTAGCCTCAGCCTGGCTGCTTTAGGATTTACCTTTTATTTCTCAGTCTACCTTCAAGTGATGGTTCCGCTCTTCACACGAGAATCTTAAAACAGTGTACTTCCATTTCTGGGCTTTGTGCTGTTCTCATAAATTTTGTTTCCACATATGTCAAAACCCCCAAAATACACTGTTATTATTTTCACTTTCAAGAGTCAATTGTCTTTTTAACATTTTAAACATTTTTTATCAGTAAAATATATGTAAGTTTTACCATTTTAACCATTTTTTAAGCGTGCAGTTCAGTGGCATTAAGTACTTCACATTGTTGTGCAGCCATCACCACCATCCATCTGCAAAACTTTTTTTTTTTGCTGAGGAAGATTGGCCCTGAGCTAACATCTGTGCCAATCCTCCTCTATTTTGTATGTGGGCTGCCAGCACAGCATGGCTGCCTACAAGTGGTGTAGGTCTGTGCCTGGGAACGGAACCTGGGCCACTAAAGCGGAGTGTGCCGAACTCAACCACTAGGCCACAGGGCTGGCCCCCATCTCCAGAACTTTTCATCTTCACAAACTGAAAACTCTGTCCCCATAAAACACTAACTCCTCCTCCTCCCCCAGCCCCTGGCACCCCCCATTCTGCTTTCTGTCTCTGAATCTGACTCCTCTAGGAACCTCATATGAGTGGAATCACACAGAATTTGTCCTTTTGTGACTGGCTTATTTCACTGTGAACATAACGTCCTCAAAGTTCATCTGTGTTGTAGCATGTGTCAGGATTTCCTTCTTTTTTAATTAAGGCTGAGTAATATTCCATTGTATGGATGGACCACAGTTTGTCTATGGACATCAATGGACACTTGGGTTGCTTCCACCTTCCGGCTGTTGTGAATGATGCTGCTGTGACGTGGGTGTGCAAATAACGTGCTTTCAATTCTTTTGTGTATACACCCAGAAGCTGGATTGCTGGAACACATGGTAATTCTATTTTTAATTTTTTAGGAGCCACCATACTGTTTCCACAGTGGCTGCACCGTTTTACGTTCCCACCAACAGCGCACAGGATTCAATTTCTCCTCATCCTCACGAACATTTGTTTTCTCACAGTGGCCATCCTGATAGGTGTGAGGTGCTATCTTCTCGTGGTTTTGACTTGCATCTCCCTAATGATTAGTGACGTGGAGCAGCTTTCCATGTGCTTACTGCGGTCATGGTCTGCAGGTGGACACCTGGGGGCCCCAGGCTCTACAGGAAGCCAGGTGAGAGGAGGCGGCCCCACGAGGACAGCCAATGGATAGCTCACTGTTTCTGGTGCTCCTGGCACAGACTGCCTGTCAGCCATAGCACTCAGGCCAGTTGCGCGGGAACAGCTTCAGAATGTTCCCAATTCAGAAAGCCCCCAGGGAGTCATCTGCAATCCCACTCTAAGTAGCCTCACCCCCCACCAGCAATTGGCCGGCCCGACACCCCTCTCTGTAGCCTCCCTGTGTGGCCCCCCATCCCTGTTTCAGTGGTTTGATGCTCCGCCTGCGGCAGCAAACCTCACTCTGGGCCCGGCTCCAACCCATCACCCAGCTTCCTCTAAGAATCCGTACCTGCCCTCCGACCATCCCCGGGGGGCCAGGGGCCCACAGTGCTGAGGTGGCCCTGCAGGGGACCCTAATGTGTGGGAAGCAGGACCCAAGCGCCAGCCAAGGAGGACCCGCAGCCTGCTCATCCGAGACTCCGTCTGTGCTTCCTCTTCTGTCCTCATGGCCACCCCACCACCTCCCACCCCGACTCCTTTCTCTTCAGGTCACACAAACGGCACTACCCCAAAGAGAGTGAGGACCTTGCCCCCATGGCCAACACTCCTGGAGGGCAGGGACTGTCAGGTCACCTGGGGCCCCTCCATGCAGGCACCTGGAAAAGCAAGTGGACACCCAGATGGCGATGTTACAGTGGCACTTCAGGGACATCAGCCCTCTTCCCGAGGTACGCTGGCACCATGGTTACACACTGTGTGGTCAGAGCACCTGGGTTCAAATCCTTCCTACCGTCCTGGCTGGGTTATGATGAGCAGCCCACCTGGACTTGTTTCCCCACCTGTAAGATGGGGTGATGGGCACGCGCCTCACACAAGCTTGGTGGGCACTAACTGAGTTGCACGTGTGAGAGCAGGCACGGAGGCCTGCACACCTCCGCGGCTCCCTCCAGCCCCGGCCGCCACGCACTCCAGGAGGCGACACCCTCACAAACTATTACCGAGTGAGCCCTCTGTCCAAATATAAAGGGGTTTATTCATCTCTATCCTCAGGAGTACAAAATATAAAATGCAAGGCCGCCCCGCCCGCCTGCCCCGCTTCTCCAGGTTGACACCGGTGCAGCCGTCCAGGCAGGGCTGCTGTCCATGCACGGCCCTCAGGCTTCAAACATGGCACAGCTGGCACAGAGCACCTTCTCGTGGACGTCACTGCAGCTGCGACACCACAGGGAGGAGAGAGAAGAGCTGGTGTTAGGGGCCGAGTTGTGTCCCCCCAAATGTCTACGCTGAGCTGCTAACCCTCCACGTGGGGACCTATGTGGCTACAGGGCTGCTGGCTGCACTCCAAACTAGTTCAGATGAGGCCACACTGCAGTGGGTGGGCCCTGACCCCATAGGACCGGTGTCCTTAGGAAAAGAACACCACACGATGAGGAAGAGCCCCCCCCCCCACACACACACAGAGGGAGGGAGACTGGAGGACACGGGGAAAAGGCCTGCAGATCTTCCCTAACTGCCGCCAAAGGAACCAGCCCTGCGATACCCCAATCCCGGAGCATGAGAGGATAACTGTCTGTCGTCTAAGCCACCTGTCCACCCGTGGTGCATGTCAGAGCAGCCCGAGCTGACTGGGACAGCCGACCAGCCCGTCTGGGGCCCAACCCAGGTTTCAAATCCGATGGAAGCCCCCAGAACCCTCCCAGGTGTCCAGGTAGGATTTATGGATCACGATGGTTCATGTTGGAAGCATGTCAAATAGGTAAGAATGAGGAAATTCAGCAAATTGTCAGGAGATCCTGAAGGACAGGAAATCGGCAACGTGCTACAGGAAACACAAGGCAGGACCTTCCGTCTGAGGGGAAGGAAGCCAGGGCTGTGGCTGCCCGGTCTGTAGGACCAGGAGCCCGTGGACTGTAGGTGAGCTGTGACCTGCAGCTAAGCGCTGAGCCCCAAGGATGACCAGGTGAGGGCAGGTCACCTATGACCACTAAGCCTGGAGCAAGTCATCTGTTTGTAAAACGGGGCAGAGACCCCCAGCCCTGGGTGTGGCCGTGTGCCCACTGCCACGTCGCCGTGAATTCTGTGGGTAACTGGGGAGAAGAAAGCAGGAGGAGAAGCAGGAAGAGAGACAGGAGGAGACTAGCGTGGGAAGTCCTGTGAGGACCCATGCGGGGCAGGAGGAAGTTCCAGCACAGGCAGCCGGTGGGAGGAGGGTGCCTGCCTCTCTCCTCAACCTGCCCTCTGCTGTGTTCCACCCTGCCCAAGCGAGAAGGCCGCTGGGCACTGGGAAGGCCCTGCCCTCTTCAGTTTACACACAAATAGGAAGAGAAGAATGAAGTTGGTGGAAACAAAAGAAAGAGAAGTCCACATTCATAATTTGCCGACACATAATCCCCAAGCTGGGTGGTGTGAGACTCCCCCAGTCCCGTGTCCCACTGCCCAGGCCTGCCGCCGCCCACCCTGCCTGGCTCCCCGGTCTCTGGCCGCGGCCCACCTAAGAGGTGTGTTCTCAACTTTCCGAGCGTGGTTTCAGACTGCTGGGACTCAGCCAGTCTGAGGTCCACGGAACCGGCTCCGAGCCTGTCGGGGGGACTCGCCTTTCTTAGAGGGCGCTGTTCGCCCCACCTGTCAGCCAAGAGTGGCTGCTGGGTGGGACCGGGACCTGGTGCCTCACGAGCAGGGACGGGATCCAGACACACACACTCACGGAACAAGCTGAGCAAACACCACATCTCCTGCTCCAGACAGCCTGTACCAACTGGATGCACAGAGACGGGCTAACTGCCACGTGCGTCTGCTTCCACCTGCCGGGGTTTCCTCCTATAGAGGAAAACCCACAGGAAACGGTCCTAACTTGAGGGCTTAAAGGACCAAAACATGCACGGTAAGATAGAGGACCGACAATCTGGGACAGAGCTAGCTACCTGTGAGACCTGGATTTCCTTCAGAAAGGACTGCAAAGACTTCAGAAAAACTTCAGGTTGGGTGAAGCATTTATCGCCGTCACGGCACCCCACTAGGCCATGCCAGATGGGCCCGTTCTCCCAACTGCCTAGCCCCCAACCTGGCTGGGGCGCCGCCTGCTTGGGCACCCTGCAGTCGAGCACTTACTCCACGAGGGCGCACAGCGCGCAGACCACAGCCCCACAGCCGCAGCAGGTGCGCACGCACAGCCCGCACAGGGCACGCTCACACTGGCCACACGCTGCCTTCCCATCCACGGCTCGCACGCACGAGGAGCAGGCTCCGGACGCCGTCCCGGACGCGTCTGTGAGGAAGAAACGCCACCCGTCAGCCCTGGGAGGGGACTCGCGGTGCTGGGTGCTGCAGGACCACCGCCTTCCCCAGCCGAGGACAGAGAGCTGACCCACCTCCCGCAGCTGATCTACCACTGGGTCCTCACGACAACCAGCAAGCAAGTATAGCACAGAGCCTTGTGTCTAGGGGGAGATCCCAGGGGCCAGGGAGCACGTGACGGGGTGGTTTCCATGATTCTGGGCGAGCGCTCCTTCCCTCACCGCTACCCAGACCTCCCGCTACCAAGATGTCAGGACTGGAGGGAGCAGCTCCTCCCCCGACTGCCTGCACCAGAACCCTCAGGGCCTCCACCCTGTGTGTCTAGCGTCTGTGCCTCAAACCGTGGCTCCTGCGCCACCAGTTAACAAAGAGGTTCCTGGGCCCCACCCAGACCCGGGGGTGGGCCGGAGACTGTGGTTTTTAACCAGCGGCATGGGTGACAGTCTGAGACACACACAACACTGCACAGGGACCTAATCGGGAGGGTTCCACCCGGACGGGACTCTGTGGGGGAGCTGCAGGTGGCGAGCAGGTGGGACCCCCAGGTGGGTTTGTGCTCCTTTTCTGATCTCGCAGTTAGAAGCTGTTTCACAATGCCCAGATTTGGATGGTGGCAGAGGCAGAGGCTCCTGATGTCAGGAGCCTTCCGGTGTTCACCCAGCTCCTGAGACTCTGGGCCCAGCTCCTGCCTGCCCGGGAAGGTAAAGTTCCTGGGCAGACAGTGTCACAAATGCAGAGAACTGCACTTGCCACATCCATCCTGGGCACATAGCTGTGAAGTGCCGGCTGTCAGCCTCACTCACCAGCTTCAGAGGCCTGGGCTCGGCTTCTGGTCAGTCGGCCGTCCGCTCCGATTAGCATCTGCCCACGTGCAGCCCGAGAGGCCTCCGTGGGGCTGGGCTTTGGGGACTCCGGCAGGTCAACAATGGCACAGCCTTCCTCCCACACGTGGTCCATGTAGGCCTGGGCCCCTCGAAAAAGGAGTTGCTTGGTCTTCTCTGGGGAAGACAAATCATTCCTTCCATTTACACCTTTGCAGCATGGAAGCCCTCGCATAGCCAGTCTGTCCTGCAAGCTGGGCATGGTGAGGCCTCCTTCGTGCTCTGTCATCACGTCACCCTGGCCTCTGCTGCTCCGTGGTGAGCTGAGCCCCACTCTGCCCTCCCACCTCTCCTTTCCTAGGCTCAGCTGCCACCTCCTGCAGGAAAGTTCTGGACCCTGCAGCTGCAGCCGGGCTCCCTCTTCTGTCACTCTGCTCATTATCCACAAAGCTCTCTGGATGAGCGGCCTCACCTCACTGCTGTTCCTCTCCTCCCCAGCACCCTGCAAGCCAGCTATGTATGGCACAGAGGGAGCTCTGCGCTGTGAGGCACTAATTCACAGCTGGAGGCTCAGAGCTGTGCCTGCGACCCCCGGCCAGTGTGCACCCTCTTCCCCTCCCGCAGAGCTGCTGGCAAAAGATGAGGCAGCACCCAGCTCCTGACAAAGGTATCCCCAAAATTTCCAGACCTCTCTGGGCCGTGGACACTCTCCCACCCCTGGAGGTGAAGTGGCTGCTCAGCACCCAGAGCAGTGGTTTTTCATTGGACTACATGTCAGTCACCCAGGGGCTTTCACAGGACCAAATGCCTGGTGCCAGCCCCAGAAATGCTTTGTTTGTGTTCTTCTGCCTTGTCCCAACAGAGCCCGAGTGCAGATCCCAGAAGCTGCTGGCTCTATGTGAAATCGACAGGAAAACAGTTATCAGGTAACTCAAATAGAGTGGCTGATGATGGCCCTGCCACACCCAGCTCCTCGCACAGGAAGGAATTATAATGGGATGGGAATGGGGGCGGTCACGTGGTGACGCTAATGCTTGTCTTCAAGGGCTTCTAGTCCATTCAAGGTAAGGAGGCCAGGGTTTGGGCTTGGAATTCGTTACACATGAGTTCAAACTGGGTGTCCTGCTCTGATTACTGAACGACCAGGGGGCCCAGCACTCTCCCTGACAGGGCCCTGTGAGTGACAAGCCCCTGTAAACGCCCCAGGATGATGTGGTCAAGAGAGAGGGTGAAGAGCTAGACTGAGTCCCGTTTGTTTTTAACTCTTCTTTCTGCCTGCTCAGTGTTTACACATTTTGAACGTGCTGACGGGGGCGCACACAGTCCCCACAGCTTCACTCTTCTTTATCTGATGAGGGGAGCAGCAGGAGAAAGAGAACCGGGGCCTCCTGAGGCTGGGCTCTTCCCCACATGCCCAAAGCACAGCAGCACCACTCCATTACAAACAGCCAGGTCATTTCCTAACTCGGCCATGGGGATGAACCTTGTGCCCCCAACCACTAGATAAGTAAACTCCACTTTGTAGCTGCCTCAGGGTATTAGTCACCCCAAACTGATAATCAATAATATCGATGCACCTAAAAATCTGCGTCAGAAAGCCAGATGAGAAGCCCTCCGATAGCTCACTACACTCACACATCACTTTGAATGGGACATTCCAGCCACACCGAGTCCTACTGCGCTCTCCTGCTTCCTTGCCTTTGCATACTCTGTTCCCTCTCCCTGGAGTTCCCCTTCTCTCCCTCCTGCCTGCCTTAACTCCTACTCACTCTGCAGGGTTCTGCTTAGTCTCTGTTCCTCCAGGAGACCTCTGACACCCCTGCAGGGGGTTCTGCCCTGATGACCTCTGGAGATTCCTTCTCCTGCTGGTCCCCCACTGGACCGGGGAGCTCCCGCCAGGCAAGGTCTCTGCGCGCTGCAGTACCTGGCAGGGAGGGCGCGCTCCACAAACACCTCTGAGGTTGGAATGGGTACTTCTGCCGGCTTACTCCACCCAGGACGTCCCGCTCCCCGACCTCTCTCTGGGCTTGAGGGATCCTAGTGCTAACGAGACCAGGGCTGGTCACTGGTCGAGCACCTCCCGCAGGACAGAGCCCCCAGGCAGTACGTTTAGGGGGCCAGTGGGCGCCAGGAGCAGGGACACTTCCTGTGGCCAGCGCGGGTGGACGTGGACGCATTCAGGCCCCACTCACTGCTCCCAAGCCCCGGCCGGACGGCTGGTCCCGCAGCCTCCAGGCTCCCGGGGGCGCGGCCTGCGGAGACCGCCCGCCCAGGGCCCGCTTCGCCCGAGGACGCCCAACCCCGCACTCACCGAAGATCTCTCGTGAGTACCGCTCGGCGCACACGCCGCGGCTCAGCTCCCTCTGGCCCACGCGGACCTTGAGCTGCAGCGGGGCCGCGTCCGCGAAGGGGCAGCCCCGCTTGGGCATGGCCGCGGCCGGGAGCGGCGCAGCT